CACAACACTTTGAATAGATGTAATAGCAGCTTTATGAATACATTCCTTTTTTCCGCGAACTGGAATAGCCTTACTAACATTGAGGACTTTTAGCAAACAGCTACCGCGTTTTGCGTGCCGCACTGCCAGAGCCTTTGAAGCATGGGGACTTTCAGCAAACCGGTACCGTGTACCGCACTACTGGAGCCTTTGAAGCATGCTTTTAAGCCCACGCCCCGCAGTCACGGTATCACTCCGGTGCGCGCTTAAAAACATGTTTCAAAGGCTCCGCTAGCGCGTACGCGGAACACGGTAACGGTTTGCTAAAAGACCCTAATAACGGCTTGCTAAAAGTCCCCATTCTTACTCAGTCATCGTTATCATTATATGCCTGCCATCTAAATTAGTTCCATCACGAGTAAATATTTTTGTTGTTGTTCTAAAACTTGTTTGCATTATTTCTATTTTGCAGCCTGCTTTACTTGCAGTACTGTACCCACCTGCTAAAATCCCAACTAGGGATTGCAGGAATATTTAATAAAATAAAACAAATAAAATTGCGAAAACGTCGTTTGCATAAATGTAATTTCGCAAATGTGAAGTGCTCTTTCCTGCAGTATTTGTCATGCTACAGGGAAGATGCATTTGCAGAAAAAGAGATGAAGTTTTAAATAATTATCTCTCAGGGAACCTAGGAAAACTCAGTTATAGGTTAGATGCATAAGAAATTTGATAGCATGCAGTCCCTACTATATACCCTTCCGGGAACTTTGTGAAATACTTGATGGTTGTTTCATAAGTATGATAGAACTAAAAAAGCAACGAAGATTTCTATAGGAGTAAATGGAGGAAATCAAATGTTTTTCTCCAGGAAATTACAAGAACAGTTAGAGGGTAATGACAATTTTCTTGAACCAATAAATGTAGCTTATTTTACTGTACATGAAAGAACTTTCCGTTATTTGATTTCTATCCGGAAGATTTTATTGTTATTTAGCAGTTTGCACTGATCTGCCAAGAGATAGCGCAAGTGGTCATGTCCTAAATTGCTGGGGATGTAGTCCTTTCAATACATTTATTCTTGGTGACACCTTTCTGAGGCATTTCAGCAACAACTAAAACATGTTTGGGTGCCTCAACGGTGTGTGTGTGGGTGCCTCAGCGGTAAAATGGGCCGTGCAACAATTTTTGTATTTTCAGTAAATACCACTAAGAAGTAATCCTTGACGTTGATAACTTGCAAAGACATCAATTAGTTTTCCCCTCCGCGCAATGGCAGACACGGACAAAATAAGGAAAATAAACAGCTTTCCCCTCCTCTACTCACAATTAGAACAAGCGGCCACGTGATTTAGCGCTAATTATATACGGTCAGTGTTTATCACAGTCATACGCTGGGGTTTTCAAAGCATAGAGCATGAGCTGAGCCTCAGATATTAATTTTTATTCATTTAATTTATTTCGCCCTTAAATTCCCACAGAGGTCTTTACATAAAAGGGGGGGGGGGGGGGCAAATTTAAACACTCAAAAGTAGCACAACAAACAAAAAAGACTGGGATCGTGTCGGTTTGAGGACACGTGCAAACAGGACGCTAGATGGTGACGAGAGAGGAAGTTACTGGATTCTGGGATGCTCATAATAGATTCCGGGAGGTTGTTCCAATCAGCAATAGCCAATTGTAAGGAAGAAAATTTAAGTAGGTTAGTCCTAGGTGTAGTCAGTTGCATTATGAGTATATGGTCGGTGCGGGGGAATAGGTGGGTGGCCGGTGGGCAGTATTTATCTTTTTTTAAAGGAAAATTTTTTAAAAAATTGTGCAGCTGGGTAACGCGTGATACTTTTTTCCCGCGCTTTAAAAAAGGGGAGGTTTAATTTAGTTTTCATTGCGGTAACACTTGTGGGCTGATAATTGCGGAGAATGACACGTGTAGCCGGTTAAGTACAGCTTCCAGTTTTTTTTCTAGATGCAACTGATGGGGGTCCCAGACAATGAATGCACACTTTAATTGAGGACAAATGAGATAATTATATGCGATGAGCTTTGTTTCTTGCGTGGCCTAATAGAGATGGCGCCTTAGAAATACAAAACTTGTTTGCTTTCGCAGATATGTAGTTTATATGAGGCTCCCATGACAAGTTACGCTTAAAGTTGATGCCAAGATACTTGTAGAATGCTACGGATTTAATTGGTATGGTAGAAAGTGGTTACTCAATCTAAGTAATGTTTTTTTTTTGTAGTGAAATTAAGAAATTTAGTTTTGTCAACATTGGTCTCCATTTGCCATTCTCGACACCATGCTTGAATATGTGATAAGTTATTTTGCAAACAGGTACAGTCGGTTACACTATTTTTTTTCTATATATACAAATCACGCATTCGTCCGCGTATAATCTAATAGTGGTATTCAGGAGACCTGGCAGGTCATTTATGTAAACTAAAAACAACAAAGGACCCAGGACGGTTCCCTGCGGTACTTCCGATTCAACAAGTTTCTGTGACGAACAAATGTTGTCCATAGAAACGTTATGTGTTCGGTTTGAAAGGAAGTTTTCAATACATTTTATAGCAGACCTTTCTAATTTGAGTGCTTTTAGTTTTTGGATAAGAGGAAAATGCGGGGCTTTATAGAACTCTTTTTTTTTAATCTATAAAGATAGCATGAGACTCATAAATGTTTATGTAGATTATGGTGAATGTCCTTTAAAATTCAAAACATTTAGATTCCCAGGAGTATGACCACCGGAAACCGTGCCGGTTCGTAAAGAGCACATTGTTTACGCATAAATAATTACATTGGAATAAACGATAAGTTCCATCAATTTATTTACAACCGAGGTTTAAAGATATGGGTTAAAGATAATGTTCGTTGGGCTATTATCATCTTTAATTGAACACAAGCCGTTACTTAATGTTTGACGATGCTGATTGTCCTGAAACTCGACTCGGAGCCATGAAAATTGTCTACACCACGACGTCACGTGACTCTCAGTGGGAAGTTGTAATGTCATTTTACGTCACGGTGTCAACTACGTTAATAAATCTCGTGACGTTCTCAATTTAAATCGATGTGACGCAGTCACTTGACGTCACGGGATCACGTGACATAACGTTACTTGACAGCATGTCTTTACACCGAGTCGAACGCACTTTTATTTGCTTAAAGGAACCCTGCAACGACTTTTTTACTAGTCTGTAACACCGAACCTGAGCGCACTGAACGTAGGAACTTGGTGAAACTTTTCTTTTCTCGAATTTCGCTTTACTTTAAAAGTTAGAGGCAAATTAAAATTAAAAAAAGAAACAAGCAAAAAATAACCTTCTTTATGACGTCCCTGGTCCTGGCTTGGGTGGCCGTGAACTAGATGAGAGGTAGTCACTGATCTCTACTATAGGGAGCTGGATGGCGCATTGAGCAGACAGGTTTGAAGCCACCGGAAGTAAGCGGCTTGTCCCGAAAGTGAGCGCTTGACAGGCTTTTCAACTATTCCGAGTGCTAGTTCGAACAACGTTCAGGGCGCTGGGTTTTTTCTTGTCATCCCAAGAGGACCTGCTCGTTACGTAATATCAGTGCATGCGGACCCGAGAAGTCTCCTGGGAAGCTATTCGATGTGAAAATGTCGAGATTCTAATTTATCTAGTGTACGTGTGTCTCACGTTCAAATGCCTTATTCTCGAAATTTAATCCAGAACGGGAGTATGAAAACCGAATCAAAGACACAAAAAAGCATGGACCAATATATCGACTGAATGCACTAGGAAACCCAGCGCGCGCCGTACTTCCGGGACAAGCATCGAACTTCCGGTAGCTTCACTTGCGCAGGCTCGGAGTAGAGTTCCTATGTAGGCTCCCTAGCATATACAGGAACTCTAGCTCGGAGGGCAGTTAAGCGCCATCCAGCGCTATGGTAAAGATCAGTAAGGGTAGTGAGCTCAGCTAGTGCTCACGGTTGCCGCACTCCGTGTCAACGGCTCGAAAGGGCGCCACTAAAGCATGTGATGGATAGGCTGGATGAAGCGGGCGGCCATGGCGGCTCGCATTGCATTTGCTGCGCAGCTAAACACTAATTCGGCATGGCATTTCATTGGCCCCAAACGACAGCAAACACGGGGTAAAGATCAGTTCAAAACGGGAGCCACTTCGCGCTGCCAAACCGCTAAACGGCCAAATCGCAGGCAAAACCTGCTCGCTGAAGGCCTTCGAAACCCTCGGAACCGGTCGGATCCTCCAGCCCATACGACCGCAGCGCCGCCGCGTATGCCCGGGACCTTTATACGCTCGCCGCTTCACAGCAATGCGTGGGTCGCGTCGGCGCCTGATCCCACTACAGCTTTCTAGTGTGCGCCGCCTTTTCCACCGCTTGGTGGCGGGTATGTCGACGGGTCATTTCTCGTTTGCGTACTTTATAAACTGCATTTGTTTCTTTTTTATCTAAAACACTGTACAAAAACTGCTTTCATAAATAACTGAAACGGTTCGCGCCACTTATATTTTGTATTTCGACTAAAAAAAATGTTTTAGTGACTGTGACCAGTCGTAACGCAGGAGCTGGCCAGGACCTACAACGTCACGATGTCGTCACAAGCCGCGCGTGTTCGGCACCACGGGGCGCACCCGTAGGAGGAGGAGGAGGAGGTTTCCGCGTCGTCCGGTTAAACTATGGCACATTGATAATTAGTTACTCTCCCCGTGCCCGCTGGTTTGCCCGAACCACAAGAGATGCAGAAACCGCAAAAAAGGTAGACGCTTAAATAGGATTGCAGGGCCCCTTTAACCACTTGGAGCTGTGAAGTTCTTTTTGTTTACCGCAGGAATCGCAAGGACGGCCGCAGTCTCAGGTAGAGATATGGACCGGTTTGAACCGGTTCGCGCTTGTTGAAACCGGAAACCGAGCCGATATTTCGAAAACATCCCTGAACCGGAGCCGAACCGGGACAAACATGCGAAGTTACTGAACCCGAATGCGAACCAAAGCGAAAATCATAATCATTTCGACACCCTGGTTCCAACCTCCTCCCAGCTGCTGGTATCGTGGCGAGGACACCCGACCTCCCACGGTGTCCCGAGCAGCGAGACGAGGCCCATCCAGGTCCCCATAAACGAGGAGCAGCGAGCCCGAGTCCCGGTGTCCCTGGTCCTGCTCTTTCTGGCCGCCTACATGACCCTGGGTGCCTTCGGCTTCTCGCTCTGGGAGGGCTGGAGCTTCTTCGAGGCCTTCTACTTCGTCTTCGTGTCCATGAGCACCATCGGCTTCGGCGACTACGTGCCCAAGCACCCCATGTTCATGATGGTGACCTTCGTGTACCTGCTCTTCGGCCTGGCCCTCACCTCCATGTGCATCAACGTGATCCAGGAGAAACTGTCCGCCACCTTCCAGAAGGCCAGAGACCACATCGGCGTCTCTCTGGGACTCGGCGCCGAGGACAGGCTCATCGGTGCCTACCTGACGCCGCCGCCTCGTGAGCCTCTTGAAGACAAGAATGGCGGCGGCGGCGGGGTCTCTGCCGCTCTCGCGTTCCAAGCCAACCGACGCCCCTCGCTGACCGCCAGGCCAAGCTAGCGGGCAGCTTACTATCCTAAAAGCCCAGTCCCTGCGAGCGAACAGCCAGAAACTTCGCTTCCGGCGATATAACGTAAGCCACCTGTTGGCGGCCCTTGGGATTCTTCGGTGTAACCAAGAGGAAACACACAACCGTGTTCGTCAATAAGTCAAGCCCAGTCGGGAACGGGTCGCCGAAGATATGTTTTGTTTTGTAATGTTTGGTAGCAAAGGATGTTGAATATTCACCTCGAAAAACACAAAGAGGACATTGTGTAGGCTCAAGTTTTGCAGCGTGGATTCGCAGTTTACATACTATTTACGCAAGAATAAATTGACTTGCATCAAAAATATAGTGCAACTCACGTCCTTTCCCGACTGGTCTGCTGCTGATAAAATGCGCCCGATTCGGGCATCGGTACGAAGATATCTCCAACGAACTGAGCAAACCAGGAGTAAAGGGCGGTCCAAACCAAGCCGCAGCGGGTCCGCCATAATGTGCAAAGCGGAGCCCCCCTTTTTTTTTTTTTTTACTTTTGTTTGTTGTTTTAACTTGGAAGCGTGCAGGAGTGTTTGGACGAGCGGTGAAGGGACAGCCGAACTACATGGTGGCTAGAAGGGGAGCTGGCAGCATTGGCCGCTGCGGAGTGTAGCGGCGGATCATGCAGCGGCGCTGCTGCCGACATCTTAATCGGTCGGCTTGCCGAGCGACCGCCCGCGACTCGCGAGCACGCTGCAAGGCCGGCGGTTCGGCCGTTGTCGGTGGCATTTCATACACACAAGAACCGCATTTGGTATTTGTGGGACATCTGTTTCTCACATTGATAGCAAAGGGCTATTTTTTTTTAATTTGTACGCACAATAAAAAAGGCAGATATAAGAGCCAGTAGGCTCACGCGAAACACGAGTTCACTTCGTAAAACGAGGGTAGATTTCTTCTTTTTTTAATGGTTCCTAATATATTCACACATACCCGCACAGTCACTTAATGCTCATTTTCTGAAAAGCTAGCCTCTCATCTTCCTCTGATAAAATGTGCTAAAATATACCTGCTAAGTAAATTTCTTAAAATACACGCACACTGCTTCGTTGTATATTTCATTTCGAAGCATCGCAGGTGGTAAGATAACATGAATATTAGAAAGATACAAAAATAAAAATAAGGAACAAGAACTTTAAAAATAAGGCACAGGGATAAATTTAAAGCCTATGAGCTACGCAATGCAAGGCTGGGGGAGTTCCTGAGAATGGAAATTTGTATGGGAAAACGTGAGTGCATTTTCTCCTTGCGCTCGATTATAAGAGCAAATATCCCAAATAATTCCCACGTACTAGGGTAGCTTGGAGCATTTCTCAGTCCTGCAGACGAAATAATTGGTCAGTTACGACGTTTTCCTTTCAAATTAATTGCATTTAAAGCGGTGCTAAAACGGCATTGTACATGTATTTATGTGCACTGTCGGACACTGTTAGCGCGAACACGACGTCGACGCGTTTCAGCATGGGGGATATACGTGCCAAACGAACGAACGAACGAACAAACGAACGGCAATTCAAGCAGCAGTGACACAAGTGGGAACTGAAAATTCTCAATTCTGGGCAATATTTGTTGACTGGAAGCCCGCTCTCTACACCCCCTCCTCGATGAAAAAATGTAGCCCATATCTACAACTTGCACAAGATATTTTGGAAGCAGCTCGCCAAGCTTCATGCCAGGGACACCACTTTATATTACAGTGGGTTCCTGCCCACTCCGGTATAACCGGAAATGTTCTTGCCGACAGAGCTGCTAGAGATGCCCACGAAAGCATTATTATTGTCTCTATTCCATTCTCGAGACCAGATGCAAATAGCATGATCAGAAACATCGGCTGCGAAATAACATCGCCTCTTTGGGAAAACCCTCAATACCACTACAGGTATCTTTACAATATTGATCCTAAGCTACAGTTTCGAACTCCACGAGGTTTACCAAGACCAACGCAGACCGTGCTACACCGCTTGCGGCATAAAGTTGCGTACACCAATAGCTACCTTCATAAAATCGGAAAAGCTCAGTCTCCCGTATGTGCATCGTGCGGCGGCGTCTATAACATCCAACAGGTGGTCTGCGAATGCGAGGAGTACAGCCATGAAAGGGAGTTAATAAAGAAACACCTCAACTTCAAAGAGGAAGAACAAATAAGTATCGACATTGTGTTTGTTCCCTGGATGACATCTTCTGACGGTTATAAGGCCACAGAAGCTCTCCTGAAGTTTCTGAAGAATACTATAGTCGGTGACAGGTGAAGAACGAAGCGGAAGCTCGTCCCACCCCTTGCCACTTCAGCGGAGCGAACGGTGGAGAGGAGGTCGCCCCCTCTCCAGCCTTCGCACTACTAAAGTGGAAATAGGTGGGAGGAGCTTCCAAGTTTCGTTCTTGGCCTGTCACCAACTATAGTTACAGCATAGGCTGTAGTGTTCTAAAGTAAACTGAAGTGGTAAATGACGCTTGCCATTGAAACACTCACATCTCATTTTTAATTTTTCCCTTGTATCATTTTTCATATTCTCTTATACTTCCTTTATATCAATTTTTTTCTTACCTTCCTCTACTCCCTCCTATTTTTTTATATTCCGTTCATTACACAGTGTAGCAAACCAGCACAAGGCGCTGGATGACATCACTGTTTTAATAAACGCCTACTTCTCAAACGAACGAAGGACATCTTGAAAACTAAGAACGGCGGGAAGAACTACGCAGTAACACTGAATCGGTAACTCCCTGTGTATGTACGGTCAAAATAAATTAAAGGCCACGCGATATAGTCCGATTTTCAAAAAGTACTGCTTTATTCTTTCTGCTCTGTACGGATATGCGTGTTCTACGTCCAGAACATCACCCGCACGCTCGAAATCTTTCATAAGAAGTGCCCGATAAAGGCTGCCCGGTAAATAAAATAATAAAAAAGGGACACCTTTCATAGCCCACGTCCCTTACTCCTTACGTTTCAAATATTTTTAAACGCTCGTAAAGATGCAAGACGGGGTCATTTGCATATAGTGGCAAGACTGGCATATTATCAACATATAAGGGCCACCGGAACACTGGCGAGCCTTGAACACACTCTATTATTCCTTTCAAATGTTATTTTGCTAGGTTTGGGCCTGAGATAAAAAGAAGTTAAACACCATCGTTCATTGATGAACAAAAATGTGCTAACTAAGGCAATTGCACTTTTACAATGTTAATAAAGGTACACACTATTCGGTATGACTCAAGTAACAAATGTTATCCATGTTATTTTGCGGCAAAGGGGCAAAATGCACGTCTGCTTCAATTTTCCTCCCGGGAGTCGCTAGCGCCAGTTTAACTCGTATCGTACGTTATGATAACTCTATGGCCGTGTTCCAAAATTTACTCGATCTTACTCCAAGGTAGGGGTTTTGTACCTTGGCGTTATAATCCTTACCTGCGTCCAGCGTTCTTCAATCTGTGTTGTCACGTGACACGACCCGCTGGAGTAACCCCGCGATCCATACAGGTAAGATTTGGCACACAGCCTCTGCCACACACTTCCGCCCCAACGTTGGCCAGACGGCCCGCCCAAATCTCGCCCGTCGTTGCATAGAGGATCCCATGACATCTCGTACCACGCAACGCTAGTACCACGTGATAGCCATGTTTTTGACGGCCCGAAGCGAACTTTGCTAGACGGAGCCGAAGTTTCGGTTTCGATTTCGGCTCATGCAGGATTTTTTTAATTATTTTTTTTTTTCAGTCAGTTTAGACAATACATTTTGTATGCAGTACCAAGGCAAAAGACCAGAAGGTCTGACGAGGCCTCGGTACCGCTACATAAATTGATTGATTGATTGATTGATTGATTGATTGATTGATTGATTGATTGATTGATTGATTGATTGGGGGTTTATGGCGCATCAGCAACTAAGGCTACATTGCGCCAAGTTTAAACTATTGCAATTCGGGTTTAAGAGGAGGAAAGAGCTATAGTAGCGAAATATATGATAAAACCCCGAACATGAATGTGTATAAGTGTAAACAATATGACAATCAATTTAGGATAGAAAGTAAAATCACAGTCGGTGTAGAAGGCCGATATCTGTGAGGAAATTAAAAACACAACTGTATGGAATGAGCGGTTCGTCACCTAGTAGTAGGGCGAGGTGTTGTGAAATGTGTTCTTTATAAAGCAGTGAGAAGTGTTTATACCGTTATACGGCATTGGTCATACTTAGGGCATTCAATGAGTATGTGCATAATACTTAGAGGTAGGTTACAGTGCACACATTCAGAAGCATCCTCCCCGCTCAAGAGGTGTCCATGTGTGAGACGAGTATGATCGATTCGTAACCTACAGAGTATGACTTCATAAAAGCGCTCCCGATGTCGGGCACTCTTCCACTCGCCTAGAAAAGGTTTGATTGCGTTTAGTTTGTTGCTGGTTTCGCTGTTCCACTGCAGCTGCCACTTTGCTTTGATGCAACGTTTCAGAGAGTTGTGGTAATCTTTGTAGGGTATTTGGTGTGTGTCAATTTCTCGATCATTAGCAGAGCTAGCTGCACAATCAGCTGCTTCATTTCCAAAAATGCCAACATGGCTAGGAACCCAGTATAAGACTATGTCAAGATTTTTCTTAGCAGCCAGGATAACCTTGTGCTTTAACTCAGAAACCAGTGGGTTTTTTACACGGTTAATTGATGCGACAGCCTTCAGAGAGCTTTAAGGGTCGGTGTAGATTACAGCGTGAGAAAGTCATTTTTTGATTATGTAAAATCAACAGCCAGTAGCAAACCATAAAGCTCTGCTGTTAGTATAGAGGCTTTTGGATTTATTCTCTTCACCTGATTTACCGATGGTCCCACCATAGCACAACCTACTACCGAGTCTTTTTTTGTCCCGTCTGTATAAAAACTGGCATACTCGTGATATTTGGTCTGAGGCTCAAAGAAGTCCTGCTTTATGACTTCCTGTGGAACATTCTTTTTGTTATACTTGGTCAGTGTAAGGTCGCAATGTATCTGGCAGTTGTTCCATGGAGCTATATCTGGTGGGTACTGGACTAGCTGAGGCTTTGCATCAATCCCAACAGATTGTGCTGCAGTATTATTCCTCATAGAGAGGGGGGACTATGGAAGGTTTGTTTTCAAATGTACGTTGGAACTTGATAGTCTCCATATTATTTCGAACGGGGTGCTCCGCGACAGAGCGCACCCTGACAGAGTACATAAAACCCAGGGAAAACCTCCTATACTCAAGGGACAGTTCATTTGCTCCCGCGTAAAGGCTAAGCACTAGGGAGGTGTGAAATGCTCCTGTAGCCAATCGCAGTCCCTGATGATGAATAGGATCTAACATCTTTAGAACTCAGACAACCATAATCAAGCTGAGAGCGAATGACTGAGCGATATATATGCAACAGACACAGTCGGTCGGAGCCCCATGATACATGTGACAAGACCTTAAGGATGTTCAGAGATT